AATTAAAAACAAAATTCCAAAATTCAACCTACCCACATTTATTATTTACATTTTACTCAAATTATAAATACAATTTCTTTTATTAATAATTTAACTCAAAACGGCGTTTAGATCTATTTCCAAAAATAAATGCTTTTTTTTTAAACGCACGGGGAGACTTTTTTTTTTTAAAATCTTCCAACTTCGAATTAAAAACAAAATTCCAAAATTCAACCTACCCACATTTATTATTTACATTTTACTCAAATTATAAATACAATTTCTTTTATTAATAATTTAACTCAAAACGGCGTTTAGATCTATTTCCAAAAATAAATGCTTTTTTTTTAAACGCACGGGGAGACTTTTTTTTTTTAAAATCTTCCAACTTCGAATTAAAAACAAAATTCCAAAATTCAACCTACCCACATTTATTATTTACATTTTACTCAAATTATAAATACAATTTCTTTTATTAATAATTTAACTCAAAACGGCGTTTAGATCTATTTCCAAAAATAAATGCTTTTTTTTTAAACGCACGGGGAGACTTTTTTTTTTTAAAATCTTCCAACTTCGAATTAAAAACAAAATTCCAAAATTCAACCTACCCACATTTATTATTTACATTTTACTCAAATTATAAATACAATTTCTTTTATTAATAATTTAACTCAAAACGGCGTTTAGATCTATTTCCAAAAATAAATGCTTTTTTTTTAAACGCACGGGGAGACTTTTTTTTTTTAAAATCTTCCAACTTCGAATTAAAAACAAAATTCCAAAATTCAACCTACCCACATTTATTATTTACATTTTACTCAAATTATAAATACAATTTCTTTTATTAATAATTTCACTCAAAAAAATTAGAAAACATTCAATGCGATACATACATAATCTTTGATTTTTTTTTTTCCGGGGGCAACCCATGTGCACGGGTATCTTAAGTAAATTTTAAAAAGGAAATTTTAATTTTCTAATAAAAAAAAGTAAATTTTAATTTTAATTTTTCTTATCAAAAAGTAAATTTTAATTTTAAAATTGTAAGTAAAAGTAATATAATTGTAGTTTTAAAAAAAATTAATTTGTCCCTGTGCGCGCACGGGGAGATGATGCTCTGAGCACCACGGAGACTTTACTCCGTGGTGCATGGAGACGTCATTTTTTTTTTGCAGAATTCTTCAAGCTTTGGCGCCATTTTCACATTGAAACTGCTTTGTTCCTGTAGTTAATATGGATTTCCGCCACAATTGTTGACTAAATTCTTCAAGCTTTGGCGGTGAAATTTGCCGTCTTAATTAATTAATTTTTTTTTATCTGCAACCTACTTCTGTATGTATTTTGCGTTGATCCGTACATTGTTTAGAGCCATTTCCAAATAAAATCCCTTTTTTTCCCCAAAAATAAACGCTTTTTTTTTTTTTAAACTATGGAGCCCCCTTTTTTGATTTAAAACTTTTTCTTATTTTATCCTTCCCACAATTGTTGACTGAAGCTGTTGCTTACCGATTTTAACACAACTTATTGGATTTTCTTTAAGCTTACCATATTTGATTTCGAATTGATTCAAAGAGAATTGATTTTGCTTCTTACCGGATTTACATGTTCAATACCGTATTTGCACATTCGCTACCGGATTTACTTCTTCCACACCGTATATGCTACTTGCTTACAGGATTTTCGAGAGTCTTACTGGTTTGAAATGGAAAACACTGAAATATTGTATTTACGCGAAGCTCACCGTATTTGCATTGCGCTAACCGTATATGCAGTGAGCTTACAGTATTTGCACAAAAACACCCTGTTTCGCCCTTTTTTCCCAGCGTTCTCCCAACCATTTTTTCAGCTGGTTTTCTTCAATTTTTTGATGCTAAGAATTAGTTTTTCAGTTCCAAATTCTTGCAGTTCATACCATATTTAAACACTCACAGCATTATTTTTTCACCAGTTTCCCGCTTTTTTTCTTCAGCATTTTGATAGCTTCATCTTCCTTATTGGTTAAATATTTGATTTCATGTAAATTTTTTTTTTGATAAGTGATTTAATGTAAATTAAAAAGTTCAGTGTGTGTATTAAAATTTGAATACTTTTACAACATAGATTTGTAAAATGATATATTACTTATGAATTCGATTAAAAATTCGTAAGGTAAATTGGATGTAGCAATTGCATAGGGAATTTATCAGGATAAAATATTATGTAAGTAAATTTTATTTGATTTAAGAAAGATTGGTGTGTGAGTAAATGGTAATATGTAAAACAAAAATTAAATTTTAGCAGTTTCAATAGGAGAAATTAAAAATTTGATGACAATTTAAGAAATTTCTTCATTAATATTATGAACTTAATTGTACTTCGCACAAATTGATGATATTAGTTAATTGTGTTGTGATTTTATTTAATTGGAATAAGAAAGTGTAGTAATTGCATGAATATTTCGTTTGAATTCTTTTGTTTTGCCCGGTTTTAAATAAGAAAAAAAAATTCCGAACTCCCCTTGCGCGCACAGGAAAAATACAACGCACGGGGAGATATGATCTCCTCGTGTGGCACAGGGAGAAGTGACGTTTCTTTCTCTCTTTTCTTTTTTTTTTTTTTTTAAATTCAAACTTCCAGTTAAAAAAATTCCAAAATTCAACCTACCACATTTATTATTTACATTTTACTCAAATTATATATACAATTTCATTTATTAATACTCAAAAAAATTAGAAAACATTCAATGCGATACATACATAATCTTTGATTTTCTTTTTGGGGGCNTTTTTTTTTTTTTTTTTTACATTTGCAATTAAAAATACTTTTTTTTCCTAGTAATTAATAATCACTATACATTTGTCAAACAAAATGTAAAGTACATAATATTCACAATAAAAAGCAATAATACAATAACATTAATAATAAATCACTCCAACCTTCACTTTTTTCCCCATTTCTATCATATTGCCTCTAAATATCTAATTACCCACAATTGTTGACTTTCCATCCCTATCCTTAAGGAAGCAAAAAGGCAAAAAACAAAAACTTTTCCTACACGTTTTGCCCAGAACATTAAATCCAAATTCCCTACCTCAATTCTCTACCGACTATCAGTGCAAAAAATATCTTCCTTGAGCTTACAAAAACACTACTAACTACTAAGATTTTCATATCTTTGCTGCACGTAAGAAATTACTTTAAATCGAAAATACACCTTCTGCGTTGTAAGAGCTGATAGAAAAGTGCGAGATAAATTACATTTGTGTGTGGAAGTTTTCAAATAGACATCCTAAGGTACGTATATTCTTTCTCTTATCTTCTTCAAATGATACCAAATTTTGAACATGCAGGATTCTTTGCTTGCTTTGTATTTTAAATATAGACGATGTTAATTTAATTGGGTACCATGGATTATTGTCATTCCAATTTCTAATTCTTCATTTTATTATGGTTAGTGGGTATTTTTCTTCCATTCCATTTTTTTGTGTATTCGGGCTTCTTAATTATTTCTTCAGTCTTGTATTTATACATCACTATTGGGATTGTAAATCTATGTGGATTAGTTGTTAGATATTCCTCTTTTCTACACTGAATGGATATGTCCGTTCCAACTGAATCTAAATGGATCTTGTAAAAGTCACTGAAGTCTGAAATGTTTTGTAAATCTGTTGAAGAAAAATTTGTATATGAAAAAAATAAATGTATCTTTCCTTTAGTTTGGCCATGTGCAAGGAGAGTTTATGTTTATGGTTTTTTGTGTTTAATTTAGTGAAGCCTCTGCAAATTTTTTTTTTTGGTTGATTAGGAAGTTTCTTTTTATAAAACGATGGGTAAACAACGTTGGACACCTACATCTATACAATTGCAAATTCTGGAATTTATATATGATCAAGGGGATACAACTCCGAGGAAATCCCGAATCACGGAGATAATATCTGAATTATCGTTGTATGGTTCAACTTCTGAAGTGCAAATCTATAATTGGTTTAGGAATAAACATGCTCGTTTAAAAAGATCTACAAAATTACAAGCATCAAAAGAGGATAAAAAGTTTATAGGTACGATTTTTACTTACAACATTACCACTTATTATTATTAAATTTTTTGGGTAAATTGTTAACATAACATTTTTTTTTTTTTTTTGCAGTGTCTACATCTTCAACTCGACTAAGCCAAACTAGGCATTATTTTAAGTCTACAGGTTTGTATAATATATATTTTTAAAAAAAATTATTTTGCATGTATGTTTTCTTTAATTAATTATGTATGGTTTAATATTTTTAGGTTCCATTGATGAGTGTATGTCTGAATTATCACATACATTTGTTGATGAAAGTTTTCATGTAAATATGGAATCTGAAATTGAATCTGACGATGATGTGCAATCAGTATCAGAAACAATTGATGTACGGAATATTTTCTTTCAACCTTATATTCTTCCATCTTGTACAATTTGTAAATATTGTGGTGCAACAAAATTTCACAGAGAAGCTAAGAGATTTTGTTGTTCTGATGGAAAAATTAGATTACAATTAAATGGTATGCCTCCTGAACTGTTTGAACTATTTACTTCTGCTTCATGTGAGTCAATGGCTTTTAAGAAAGTTGTTCGAACCTATAATAATCATTTTGCCTTTACTTCGTTTGGTGTTAAGTATGATAAAAATTTATGCCGGAATAATAAAGGCATATATACGTTCAGAGTTCAGGGACAGGTTTATCACTTCATAAATTCACTTCTACCACTTGATGGGAATCCGACGTATTTGCAATTGTATTTCTACGATACTAATAACGAGCTGTGTAATAGATTAAAAAATTCAGATTCATTGAATCAACTTTGAGAAAGTTAATAGATATTTTGAAGTTAAATCCATACTTTTTCGATCATTAAGTGAAATTCCCGATTTCGAATCATTTAAAATTATGCTTAAATGTGATCCTGGTCTTGACCAAAAAATATATAATATGCCATCGTGTGAACAAGTAGTTACAATATTGGTAGATGAAGACCCATCTGTAACCGTTCGGAGTCTTGACATACTAATTTATGGACATTCAAGTGCTGTACATAAAGTACATTATTATTATGGCTGTTATGATCCACTTTAGTATCCTTTAATTTTTGCTTATGGAGAACCTGGATGGCACGAAGGTATAGAACAGGTTAATTCAAGTACTTCTTCAAATAGAAATACTAAAAATTCAGTACAAATAAATGATTTTGATTCTGCAGAACAACTTTTGCAACTCGAAGATAATGGTAAGTTGTTTTATTTTTAAAAGTTATATAGATCTTCTGCATATCAAATTATGACTTCTTTCTTTATTCTTTACTTGCAGTTCTGAACAAAAAAAAGAAACGAATGGCTGTATCATGTCGACAAAAAAAAGAAACGAACGACAAATTTGTCATTTTGAGTGTTTTCAGTTATAATCAAGCCAAAATTTTCAAAACACGTATTGGGTGTTTTCAATATGCCAAAAAGAACACATTTTGAACCATCTCAAAATGGACATTCAAAATACAAAATTCAAAATGAATTCAAAACTTAAAACACAAAATCGAAACACAAAGAGAACAGCCCCTAAGAGTCTCACCAGAAATTGAACTAAGGGAAGAGGCATACAAAGGGCCGGAACATGTTTGAGCATCGGGTCGGAAGGGCTAGTCCATCGGTCACCTCTTGGATCTCGAGGTCTATCTAGGGCGAAAGGAACTCAATCAGCGGCTGCTGGATGTAGATTCTCAGGCCATACGTGACGATGTAATACCTCTGAACAATGTACATGTGTACCACATATATGAACGCAGTGTTTGTAGCGTTGCCACATGCTGTGGGTTAGCTGCGACATGGCGGCGGCGGCAGAGGAATGGCCAGATGCTCCGTCGCCCATGTTCACATCTTCAAAATTTCCTTTTTTCGGGGGGCTTATTTTTTATTTTTCTCATTTTCGGGGAAAGAATTATTATTATAGAGTAAACGGTAAATGATTTGGGGTGAATTATTTCAAAACTCGCTTAACTTATACCATTGTAACGTATTGTTTACTTAACTTTAATATGCTTCACACTGCTTATTGAACTTCCTCTGTTTACATTCTATCCATTATCCAAAAAATCTATAAACATTTTTGCTAATGTGGCGGACAAAAAGTTGACATGGCAACTAACGTCTGTTAAAAATCACGCCAAATCTATGATGACCCAAATGGCTTATAATAAATGATAATAGACAAAAATTTTAAAGTTTAGCATATTAAATTATAAGAAGATTTAAAATATTTTCCATTCAATTTGGCCACTCATCTATCAAGAAATCCCCTTTCATAAAATGGACTCAAATAATTGATCATAAAGAAAATTTTAGTTTCACCAATACAAAATAACACACATGAAAATTTTATAATTCATAAATCATGTTTCGATTTCGTAAATAAAAATTCCTAGGTAATACAACTTTTAATCATGTCACACCGGATTATTTTAATGAGTCCCATTGATCATGACTACACCTTATTGTCCATCGACCAATGATCCATTCTAACCTTGAAGAGTAGGAGAAAATAGTGAGTACATGTGAATACTCAATAGAACATGAAATAATGGTACAATCCCGAATAAAAGATTTAAAACAAGTATAAAAATATCATACCGTCATCTTATCTTTAGATATCGGTAAGAGCTCAACAAATATCATATCATTGGTACTAGATGGCTATAACATACATATCATATCATATTTAACTTTCATTAGCATAATAATTTAACAATATGAAAAATAATAATTTAAACGGGATAAGAATCAACGTCACCTTGTTATCATACCTTGTTAGATCAAATAAATTTTTTGAAAGATAGAAAC